CTCTCCAAGTCGGAGTTGGCTTCTCATTTCTATACAGAGGTTCATCTTCCTAAGCAACACCCATCCAAGATTAAGGCAAGCACACATCCAAAAAGCTCTTACCATTTTTAAAAGATTCAGGAGAAGTCTACCTCATACGCTTGTAATATTAAATTTAATTCACACAGAAGCATTTTTGCAATTTAAAATATATGTAATTATCTTTCTCCTTGCATTCCTTTTTGAGTACCAAATTCAGAAGCAAAAACAAAATTGTTACTAGGACAAGTAATTTTCCCTGTGAGAGCTGAAATCTAAGTTTGCAAAGAACAAGGTAGAAGTTGGCACTACTTTTCCACCCTTGGCTCAACTTGCAAGTTCTTGATAGAGTTCTACCTACAGGTTCATTTTCCAGCTTGCAGCGGAGAGAACACAGCTGTGGTCATCCATAGGTTAGAATCCTCAGTCTGTCATTTACATGTTATGTCGAGTACACCAAATTATTCACCATTCTTCAGCCCATTTATCTCAAGTTATAGATGTGTAGACTTTTACCCGAGGAATAAGTGTATATTAGTGTAAGGTCACGTGCTTTATTCTATAAGGATAATTTCCCATTATCTTAAAATTATTGTGTTCTAACCAAAACTGAGGCATCTTGAAACTTGCTTAGACCTTCAAAAATAAGTAATTAATTGAGATACCTTCATCACAATCATTTTCAAGTTCAAAGAAGGAAGGTAGTATGGGACCATAAGCAGGTTTGGATTTAAACCAATAAGGATCCCCCAGTAAGATGGGGGATCCTTTGGGCCATTTCCTTCCTGAATGAGTATATCGTTAAGAGTTCCCCGCAGGTGTGTGGGAGACATGAGCTGTTCCTGTGGAGTTCATTTTCTACAGCCGGCATTGGTGTGACACTTAGCACACTCAGTGCACTCACTACACTCCCCACACCAGCCTAGCCTCGCTCTGTGGTGGCCTCTCACACAGCCCTCCTGTGTTGGCCTTTGCTTGGTCCCAACACATCCCACCCTGGCCTCTTAAAGTCCTCATTGTCACATCGGGAGTTCCTGGAAAGAGGAATCTTTTTAAAATCCCAGGCCATTGCAAGTGGTTTGACTAAAGCTAAATAGATGTTTGTCGACCTAAGTGACTAACGTGTGTCTAAAACTCTGAGAGATCACTGAAAGGTGTGACAGAATTGCTGGTTTGTTGCTCTTTGTTGTTAACAGCTAAGGATAAGAACTATATTCTAAGAATGAATTCAGCTATCACTGAAAAACTATCAAGGCAAAGAAAGTAGATTCAAGGTGTGAGGGCCACCTTAGTCATGCCAGGTCACTCTAGCAACATTCTCATCCTGGAGAGCACTGTGCTCACAGCACTCTAACTACAGTGCAGAGCCAGGTCGCCTCAGCCTGCTGCTGCCTGTAATGTTTCATGACTTCAAGAGTCCCAAATAAAACCAGAGGGATTGGGGGGGGGGCAGTATTTTTACTGAATTCTTCCCCTGCTCTTAGCATTCTTCTTTACAATGTGATCACAAAAGGCCATGGGACAATGATCACAAGATCCATTAGTCCAATCGGACATTTATTGCTACCCAGCCAAAGTCCCACCGAAACTGTCACTCAGAATCACACGACTTCGCTATAGAAAACCTGCCAGCATCCGTGTGTTAGTCCTCAGGAAACAAGAGATTCACACCACAAACAGCAATATTCTACAAGACCAGACCCTGACACGATCAGCAACAGCTGTTCTGGAGACGCTTTGAAGCTCTCTCTATGAAACTTTCTCTGTATGTATCGCAGGCTCTGAATTCTAGGTCTTGGAGGGTACTTTTACTCTGCTGAAAAATTTTGCTCTCCAGTTGGTCCAGTGGTCTCCCACCATGTAAAGAATCTTTCCATTATTACTCATTAAGAATGATTGACCTCTGATTCATTCACCATAGCAAAAGAAATGTTGCCTCCCACCTTCTTTCTCTAATCTTATAAAACGTTTCATTTTTTAGTAAGGCTTGCAACCACAGGACGTTATACACACACATGCATATGAGGTAATAAATGCAAGATAATGCATATTTCATTTGGCAAAAAGAGGAATGAAGAGGTGAATAGGCACTGAAATATATTGTACTCATTTCCTCTACCTTTTATGGTTGGAGACAGGAGATCTATTATTTGTTATAGTTACATAAGGCAATAGCTATTCACTATAACAAAACTCAGGCTGAAATCTGCTTTGCCTCCATTGTAGCACAATGCCTATCAAAATATGTTTATTTCTACATGAGTACAATTTTCCTGAAGTTTGTCCATTAAAAAATACATGCAGTGACTCTGGATATAGAGAAATAAGAATTAATTTGCATTTACCCAAGGAAATCAAATAATGTAGTGCCTAGAAAAAGTATTAAAGATGGTATGTGGTCAGCTTTTTGTTATTTGCAAAATTTGGTGAAAGTGGCCATTTCTATCATTGTATTTTGAACATCCACTGAGTCCCAGGTAATTTAGCACACAGGTCTCCATTCCTCATGATGTCAGCAAGTTAGGTTTTATTAGTGCCACTTTTCAGATGAGAAACATGCAATCTGGCATGTCACGGCAAATTGCCCAGTGTCACACATACAGACAGGAGCGGGGACAGAGTTAGACCAATGTCTCCAGGCAAGCACGCGTATTTTCTCCAGGCCCCACACTCCTCTGTAGAGTACAGTGGGAGATTCTAACAGTCCCTCCTGTGATCAAATGTGTCTGCTTGCACGAAATCCTCCGTGGTCATCCTGTGAGCGGGCTCCGGACCAAAGTCTGTCACTTTGGAGAAACAAGGGGGCAGACAGGGAGGTTGGAATGCGAGCTTAGGGAAGGAGCAAGTCCTACTGCCTGCACCAGAGCAATTCCTACTGGAACCAGAGGTCCTCTAGGCTGGCCAGAGAGAGAAGCAAAACACTCAAGGGACTAGAAGAATTTGGGTAATTGCCACACTAACAAAAAGGCAAAAAGGGGAGGAACAAAACCGAAACAATGCATTTGTTTCCTCACTTTGCTAGGAACTCACATCTTAGAAAATTTCACAACTATAATTAACTATTGTGTGTCTTCTGGCTTTGTGATGACATAACAACATTGAAAAGGAAGAGAAAAGCTCATTGTGAAGGCTTAGAAAGTAAAAAGTAAGTCGTTTAACTTTTCTTTCATCGGATGTTAATTTATGCAGAAGCTAATAACATATTTGTGGGCTCAAAGCTTCACATTGTTGAGAGGATCTCTCTCTCGGCCGGGTTTCCTGTGATCTCAGCCTGACACCTGACGGAGCCGGAATTTCAGGGCTTGTGACACTTGCCAGAGAAAGGCAATGTGCTGAGACATTCACATCCCACAGACGTGGTTAACTGCTACCCTCTGAACACCAGTGATGTTAAGTGCTCTGAGTTTTCTCCAGCTGCTGCAAACATAAGCAAACAAATTGGAGGAGAGGTGTGTGTGTGCCCCTGTGGGAAGGGAAGAGAACAATTGACCACTGAGGGAGAAGGCTTGACGTGAAGGAGAGTTCCCAGGAAAGGAGCATGGGGTACTTTCGTACCCCAGTAGGTTATCATTAAATAGATAGGTCTTTTACAAATGAAAAATTTAATTCCACTGCTGCCAAGTCACCTATGGAATACAGGCAACAGTGCTTGAAGAGATGCAGAATCTTCAGAAGTTGATGTTTTAAATGAAACTCACCATGAATCAAGTAATGACAGCTTAAAAGTCTAATTCATAAAAATGTTATTAAAGGACATTATTTATACCTGCTTTTTGTGAACTTCTGCTCTTATTCATGACTCTCACAATGTATGGCTATAATCATGGGCAGGGTGTATAATGGAGGCATTAATTCAGTCTGCACCATGGCGAGAGTGCTGGATCACCACAGTGAAATCCCAGCTATACTAATTTAAAGAGTAGAATTTATTCCACATGAGCTTTCTCTTTATGAAAACTGGAAAGGGTGTCTTTCACCTTTTGACCTCAGATATCTACTTTCACTCTGAAGTTCGGTGTAAGATTAACTAATTGGCACAATTTTGAAATGTAATGTTTATTCATCTATATTATGAAATATAGAAATTTGATACTGAATTGTGATCTTATTGTGATTATGGTATTGACATTTGCTTGGAAATATTTGTAATTAATCTGTAATTCAATTTACTCTGTAAAGTAATTTAATGAACCGCTTTCTTGATTCATGATATCAGATGGCAATATTTAGAATATGCCTATTACTTGGCCTATGCATTTATTTAGATACGATGGAAAATGCCCTGCTACGTAAAATTTGAATATAATGATGCTTAAAAGTATCTTTATTCAGAATTTTAAACATGATATGCATAATTTAAACCCCTAAACTTTTAGAAAAAGGCAAAGTGGATTTCAACTGGTTTACTTCTAACTCTGGAATGAGAGAAAATTGAATTCTTGGCTTGCTACTTCTGATTGGAAGAGCTGCAACAATGCACCATAGACACATTTAGACGAAGTGTGACTGTATTTCTCCCGCAGCACTAGATTATCTCCAGACGTTGTGAAAAGGGGCTCCGTATAAATTATACTTCTAACACCAAAAGAAATGCTGTCTTTGATCTTGTAGGTAAAAAAGCTCTATACCTAAGGGAGTGAATTAATTCCTATATTTAATCACATGCAGTCATTAGTAGACAACTTAAGCATTCATCTTAGAGCTGCACATCGAATTTTTTCAGCATAGTAACAATCTTATCATAGTTTAGGGCAATGGAAGTCTTTTAATACAGCAATACCTGACGTGACAGACAAATGAAAAATGTCAAAGAGAAAGACATCTCAAATATAGGGTAAATAACACTACTAATGGAGGAAGGAGGTTGGTATCCAGCATTAATCCCACTTATTTCTGCTTCCAGGGCTAGAATCACCTAACATTCCATTCCAACCACTCTGTCCAAGCGCAATGTCACTGTTATTCAAAATAACTATGCTCACCACCAAAATGTCCACGGATGTCTGGCTGTCTTATGATTGAAGTTCCTCCTTTGCCCCGGACACCGGGTGGCTTCAGATTTCTGAAACGGGGATCTTCTGCAAGTTTTAGGGTGCTGCATGGCTCTACGTGACATCCAGACTTAGTACAGACCCTAAGTGCAAAGACTGAGCACCCTCCTTGATACAACACTCAGAAAGGGCAGTGGAAGTTATGTCCCCGACACATGGCCAGACAAATGTCACCAGGCTGTGGGTGCCTGTGGACAAGAAGCAGACTGGAAAGACAGCAAAATCAAAACATAGTTTCATACATTTTTCTAATGAAATGGGACATATGAAAACAAAGTCTTTCAGCTTATGTGAAGTATCTTTCCTAAGAAATTATACTTTATTCTATACATCGATATCCTACATTAGGCACTAAACAACCTTCTCAGGTAGCTTAGCTCGTGATCTGTGAACATTAGCAGCCTGCAGTTTTATGTATTTACGGTGAGCCAGGCACAGTTTGAGAGCCTGGTGGACATGAGCTAGCTTTGAGGAAGGTACTGTCATTTTACAAACTGGGAAAATACTGCCTGGTGAGGTACAGACCCGTGCTGAAAGTCAGAAAGCCATCTGGAGGCTGAATTGGACACAACAATCCTTCATTCCAACCTTGCCTTGCCTTTTGTACTAAATTTTCTTTAAAAAATTTTTTACATTTTTTCTCTAGAGAAAGAAGGTGAGAAGAAAGAAGAGAAGAAAGTTACTTCTGAAACAAAAAAGAAAGGTAAAGGATTTAAAAGCCATGTAACCCATGAATCAACGAGTAGCCACTGTGCTACTGGCAAGGGTCTTGTTTTCTAGGGAAAAAATTCTCATAGGAATTTGATTGTCATTATTTTTTTTTTTAATTTGGTACCAGGGATCGAACTCAGGACCTTGCACTTGCGAGGCAGGCGGTGGAACCAGTGAGCTACATCCCTGGCCCTGATTGTCATTCTTGACAAACAGTATTGAATTTTCTAAATATTCCAAATAAAGCTGCATTTGACGTTTTTAATTATGCATGTCTGTTTAACTTTTACTTCCTTAGGCATGGCTTCTCGGTTCTCCTTAATTCACCATCTCTCTTGGCAATATAAATGAATATAAAGTTCACTAATTAATTCTGTTTAATAAAAAGGCCAATTATTTTATGCAGCGAGAAGAAAATGTGAGACTGGCTTACTGTATCGCTTTTAAAAAAAAAAACAAAAACTGGTCGTTTTCACACAGCCTGCCTGAGGTCCCTAGGCCTTCAGAGCTTATCAGTGCTTCCACTGCACTTCCAGTAACCTGGGAGCTTTGGACATTCGCCATATTCCTTTTAATCTACTTTAGAAAATCAATTGACTTCTATCACAATTAATAATGCCATTTAATGTTTCCACTTTTCTGAAAGATTCATTTCCCTTCGCAAAAATTGGTTCCTTCCTGGAGCGAAAGCACACCTAGGCTGCTGGTTTGTTCAGAGGGTGCGAGCTTGCTCCTGTTTGAGAAGACTTACAGGTCTGACTTGGGATTCTTCTGTACAATATGAATTGGCTGTCTTAGTGTCAGTCACGCACATCCTAAAGTATGTAAGCAGTGAGAAGTTAGAGGCTTATCACTTTCATTTTTTACCAGCAGACAAAGAAGATGCTAAAAAGAAAAGTGAGAAGGAAGCTACCACAGATGTGGAAAAAAAAGGTATTGGTTTTGTTGCTTTAGATGATGTTCAAGATGTTTGTTTCGTGAAAAATCTTCAGGCATCTTATACAAAGTGGATAGTTATGTAAATCTGCAATGTGTAAACTGTCAAAGTAAAAAGATAGAACTTCCAAACGTGAAAACCAAAAAAGTATTACACAATGTCAGAGGGAGACGTTATGCAGGTTCTTGCAGTCAACTAGAGGACTCAGAGTCAGTCTGACTCAAATCTGCTGAAACTAAATGTGGGAGAGAGTGTCGGGCTGGACTAGTGTGTGATGGGCCACCCTTGTTTGCATGGTGTTTTAGTAGAAGGAAAATGAAACGTTCTTCCCTGTGTATCCAGTGAGAAGACCTGATTTTACAAGCTGGAGCTAGGTATCTAAAATGTTAGGCTCCTAACCTCCCACAGACAGTGGGGAGAGCGGCATCTCTCCTTGAAGATTACAGCCCAAAAGGGGGGCTCTCAGAACTTTGAGAAACCCATTCTTGTTCTGCAAAACTGGAAGCGGTTTTTTAAAAAGATCTACATCTCAGAGGAGTAGAGAAACAATTTACAATATCAAGTTCCACAGAAGGAACACCCTAAGCAAAGGCAGGTCAAGGTAAAGGTCATCTTGGTTAAGACACCAAGAAATGACAAGAACTCCATGATGTAACAATGTGGCTTTCGAAAGACGAGAAGCTGAGAGAGAATAATGCACCCCATTAAGAAACTGGGCTATTTAACTCATTTAAAAGCTTAGCTTGTTGCTTTAAATTTAGTTTTGTTTTGATTCTCATGCAGGCATGAATATTGGCTTCTATTCATGTAAAGACTTAAACCTACATGGAAAAATTGTCATCTCCAATGTCATGGTTTGGTGACAAGTACTCCTATCCTAAGTGTTTTGCTCCAATGTGTCAGTGATGATTAAGACTCTCCAATTAGAGGCATTCCATTCCTTTGAGGTATGAATGAATGTTCCTCCTTTGAAATGCAAAGCCCTGTGTGTACAGGGTAAAAACTATTTCCTTTCAGCTATTAACAACTTGAAATTTCCAGATCATCTTTGTGGAACAGTAAACGGAAATTCATACCTCAGAAATGAGGCAGTAGGTGAGCTTTGATGAAGACAGTTTCAGAGGAGGCATTGTCTGTGGGCAGCAGACTGGCATGGAGGAGATCGGTAAAAGCCTTTCCCTCCTGGGGAGTAATAGCTCATGTCGGTGAAGGTGCTGGAGAAAGACTCCAGGAACAGTGACCATGGGGTGGCAAACCAAGTAAAGATTATTCTTAGCAAGTAGCAAACAGGAATGCAAGCCTTTGTCAAAGTCATGCTACAAATGAGGAAAATGTATGAAATACTGAGTTGCACGATTGTGTGGCTCATAAAATGAGCAGAAAGAGACAGCCAGGTGTTCTGTAGGCCTAGGAGTTGATTGCTAATTACTTTCCATCTCCATTTCCATTATTAAAGGTGCATTCTTGTAGCGTCTGCCTATTGTAGTGTTGAATATTCATGAATTTTATTCTAAAGTTTTCTTTATTTTTCTGGTGAAGTATGAATCTCACCCTATGAAAGGGAAGACACAGTTCTGACCCTGTGGTACTGAGAGCCTGCTTGCTGTGCTGAGGGGGGTCTCTGACAGACCCAACCTGGGAGGCAAACATGGCCAAGGTGCTCCCTCCTGGGCCCCTGGTGCTGCTGAAGGATTGGCGGAAGAAACTTTTAAATCGTAATCTGCAAAATAGTTGTCATGTGTGTGCAAGTACAAAATCAGAAACATTTCATTCTGACTAAAGTCAGCGGCTGTGCGCGCGTGTAGCTGTTGTTTGGGTTTGTTTAGAGCTGGTGGGGAAGGCGGAGCTGGGCTGTGCGCAGGGAGGTGGGGAGAGCCGAAGGCGGGCAGCCGTCCTGTCCACCTGCGGCTGGGACCCTGCTGCCCCAGAGGTGAGTGCAGGTGAGGCGGCCACGCAGCCCTTGCGGGCTCGGGAGCAGGCGGCAGGGCCTCCCCGCTCCTGGAAGGAGGGCTGCCCAACCGGGATGCTGAAGGAAACTGTCCTCTCAAGCCGGCTTTGGGTTTGCCGGCCTGTCACGCTCCCTTTTTTTATATTGTTAATTTTATTAGGTATACAGTGTAATGACATTCATCATTGGTAATCTGCGCCTTTACATACTCTCTTTTGGTTCTTATTTTTCCCCTTTCCTCCGCCCTCCCTTCAATCCCTCCATCCCTCCCTATCTACAAAGACTTTGTTTCCATTTTTCATTTTCTCGTATTAATCCTATTCCCTTCTTTCCTTCCCCCTACCCCTCCCACTTCCTTCCCCTTTGCCCCTTTTCTTCCTATTTCACATTATCTATTATACCTTTTAGTCCTTATTTACACTTTCAGTTTCTCACACTAGAGAAACTATTCCATATTTACACGTGTGTCCTATTTATTTCACTTAAGAGCATCACTTCAATGTGCATCCATTTAGCTATAAATGTCTCTAGTTTCTCGTATTACATAAAGTATCATTGGCACTGCAAATCAGTTCAGCTTCCTGATGGAAATCTGTTATTCAGTAATGTATCTGGAAATGCTCAACATTTGTGTGTGTTTGTGAAAGAAACAGGGAGGGAGAGAAAGAGAGAATTGGCTTCTAACCAGTTTCTTGTTAAACTACAATCATTCTCTATATTTCCATGTGACAGCAATACAGTTTAAAAATGGCCAGACTGAAGCTTATTCGGAGAGTAATAAAAATTTAGAGAGATAATGAGAGAAATTGAGTTTTAACTTAAAATCTTAAGGAGCCTGAGCACATGTGTCATTTCTTCCTAAAATAGTCAAAGAAACATGGTAAAGCATATGATATAAAAACATGATATCATCACTGTTCCCCCAAATAGTAGCAAATTTACATGACAGAATATTTTCCTAGGAGCTCATTTAATACATGTTTTATTATGATATTTTATTATATTTACATTAACATTCATATGATTTACAGGACTATATACTCCATATATTTATTTATATTTTTACATTTAGTGTTGACTACAAAAAAAAACTAAAGCTTTAATCTTGTTCACTGATGAAAGCCCTTTATGGAATGGAACCTAAGAACCATACTGAATTAATAATCTGTGTTAGAAATGTGCTTGGGATATTATAGGATACAAAGTCATTAGCGCAGGATTAATAACAGATGAAACTGAGTCATTGGTACATGAGGGTTAATTTTAATAATATCTTGTTTAGCATATATGTAAAAATCCTGCCTCTTAGAAACATTGTGAGAAATTAGAAAATCACTAGGACATTTTTGTTATGAAGTACATGTTATAAGATACATTTCGAACCATGAAAAAAAGCAACCAACAAAGGAAGTAAAACCTTGAAAACATCTCTCTGTTTGTGCTGGACTTCGGTGCTAGACACAACAGTCACTCTAGTTAATACAGGGAGGAAAGTCTACAGAGAGCTGGGTACCTGGGAAAGTGTGGGTAGGATGGGAAGAATGAAACCAAGACGGTGCCACTGGGTTAGTCAGCAATAGGTCAGGAAACAGCTCCATTCGTCAAAGCTGGCCCTTAATACCCACAACGGCAAGACATGAAATGTGGAGGCCAACCTCAGCAACGCACTGACATCTTCACTTGAGCAATCATTCCTGTGGCTTGCCAAGCCATTTCTCCTCGACAGTTTCGTGCAGGTGCACCTAACTGGTGGAATTTCACTTCTGCAGAATGAGCTCTCTCTGCAAGGAGCCTGCAAGGCACAAGTTTTAAACATTCCCATTTCTCCACCTGGGAGGAGGGAGGATGGAAGTTGAGTGAAGCTGTCCCTAGTATTTATAATAGGAACACTTTAGGAAACATCTGAGAAGGTAACGTTCCCAAAAATGGTTTTTGTGGGCCTGAATTATTCAGGGACTAAGCATATGGGTGAGTCCTCCCAAACTGAAATGGATGGCTCCATCAACCAACACAATCAAACTTGTCAATTCTGAGCGCACACAAGACACACTTGGATGTACTTTATGTTGCCCTTTACTGGACCTATAGAAAAACATCACGGGCATTCATTCTCTCTTTACTCCATGGGAGGATGATTCCTAAGAAATAGTTTTCTGGGGAAAGGAAAGAATGGAAAGGAAAAATTATGAGAAAAGGAAAAAAATGGAAACAAAGTATGCAAATAGGGAAGGGTTTAGGGGTGAAGGGAGCACAGGTAATAGGGAAAAAATAAGAACCAAGATACATCATGTACAGGTACAAGCACCCAAAGATAAATGTAAATGTATTGTATACCTAAAATGTACCAATAAAAGAATTTAAGGAAAAAAAGAAACAATTATCTAAATGCTTGATGACAAAATTATAGTGCCTCAAAAAGATCACCATGTTGTTTTGTCTTATAATGAAAATTTCATAACCCTGGCAAAATATACAGAGCAGTGGAAAAACCAAGCCAACATTAAGGTGATCTATTTTTCTCAGGTTGCTTCTTTTTTGGAGTTGTGATGTTTCTTTGGAATTAATGTTGTCATTATCTATATGCTTATCAGATTATTAATTATGAACATAATTTTTATCGTGCCTCGGATCAAACTAAGGACCTTGTATATGGCAGGCAAGTGCTATCCTACTGAATTGAATCTCTAGTCCTGAGAATAATTTTGCAGTAATAACTGACTAATGATACCTGTGTGAAATGATATTTAGTTATCACAATTCCCATGAAAAAATTTCCCAAACATTATCTCAATAGGAGACAAAAAAAACCCTTTTATTCTGAAATAAACTGTGAGAAAAGGATAAATTCATTCACACATGTATACATTCTTTTTTTTGAGACAAGGTCTCCTTATGTAGTTCAGGATGGTTTTGAACTCACTGTGTAGCCCAAGCTGGCCTTGAACTCACAGCAAACCCTCCTGCCTCAGTCTCTTGAGTGCTGGGATTATAGGCGTGCAACATCACACCCACCTTGTGTGCATACCCTCTTGCAGGAAATATGTACCA